CACCTTGGAGAGACAGACTTTCTACTGCGTTCCAGTGCCTGGTGAATCTGCATGGGTGAAAGAAATATCTTTTTTGAGTGAGTTTTAGTTGCTGTTTTCAAAGAAGCCACTGATTGCTGTGCAATTCTTAAGCAGGTTATTTATGTAGCTAAAGAGAGGATGTCTAGGTAAGAATTTGAATATTTTAATGTCAAACTAGGATAATAGCATTTTGTTTAACTGTAACATTTAACTTTGCCTGAATTTTCTCAACTGACTCTTTAGTTTTCCTTAATCCTCAATTTTACGCATATATTAGTGCAAGTCAAGCTCGAGTTAGTCCCTCCACATCATACACACCAAGTCGCCACAAGAGGAGCTATGAAGAAGATGAGGACATGGACCTACATCCATCTAAACAGAAAGAGCAACATATAGGTAATAGTTGTTACTGATGAATAGTTATCAAAGAAGCCACTGATTGCTGTGCAATTCTTAAGCAGGTTATTTATGTAGCTAAAGAGAGGATGTCTAGGTAAGAATTTGAATATTTTAATGTCAAACTAGGATAATAGCATTTTGTTTAACATTTAACTTTGCCTGAATTTTCTCAACTGACTCTTTAGTTTTCCTTAATCCTCAATTTTACGCATATATTAGTGCAAGTCAAGCTCGAGTTAGTCCCTCCACATCATACACACCAAGTCGCCACAAGAGGAGCTATGAAGAAGATGAGGACATGGACCTACATCCATCTAAACAGAAAGAGCAACATATAGGTAATAGTTGTTACTGATGAATAGTTATTGTGAGCTCTTTCCAGAATTTGCAGAAATTTCAGTCTCAAGAATTGAAATATTTGCAGCTGTTTGAATTGGAGGTGTTAATGTAGCCTTCATAAGTGATTTGGTGGCTTTGTTGAAGTCGTGAGTGTGGGAGAGCCTATGGCGTTGCATGTCATGTGTATGTTATATGACTTAGTACTGCTTCCTAGAGTTAATTCCTAACATTAGTATTTTATACAGCAGCACTTGTGTATTGCCTTTTGTAACAGTGCACACAACTCATAGCAGCAGGCTGAAATGTACTTCTTGTTTACTTTCCCACTCTTGCAGATTTCATGGTAATCTGGGGAAAATCATGTAATCTTGTCTCTCTCACACTCTGTGGATGTTACTGTGTAAATTGGAGCCGAGCTACATCTCAATTAGGTGCTGCTTTGCTACAAACAGTAGTGTAGATCTAAAAACATCTTCCAGCCTTGCCTTTTTTCCTAACATGAGACTTATTAATCCAACTTAATTAACAAGATTAATACCAGACACTTGAAGCACCCTGAGGAAAGCTATTAAACCTTTGAAGAGGATGATATTTCGTAGCAGTGCTCAGAGAGTGTGCAATTCTTATGTTGTAATTGATTTGTGAACTATTTGTCTCGATGCTCTTCTGTGGAGATGCCACTTAAATTGGCACAGGGGCACGATTTGAAGTTTGGGCATGTTTTCTTTTAGTGTAAAGTTGTCAGTCATGTTAAAGGAAAAAAAGGTAGAAGCTATTGCTTTCTTCTGTTCAGTAGTGTGTGTCTATCAGGCTCATTAGCTGAATTGGGGTTTTTCTTGTTGTAATCTTACCAGTTTGCAAATTAGGTAGTTTAGGCTGGTTTGTGTTCATACTTGGATCAATTGTAGAATAGATTTTTATAGCTTTATTGCTGAAAATCAACAGAGGTTTTTAATGTGGACTGTTCTGTAGATGCCTACTCTTACCTTTAAGAACAACCTAGATTTTGACCAGGAAGTGCAGAAAAATACTGCCTTTGTGGTCCTACTTATTTAGAAAAATTTTATTCGTGCATTTTGAAAATCAGATTGTTGGCCATGTTTGGGTTTCTAAGACACGCAGATCTTTACCAGTACTCACACTCACACTTATCTTGATATAAAATATGCGCTTGTGAGACTTTTCTGTTCTGAGTATCTTCTGTCAAATATATTGACAGAATAAATATTTTAAATATTTTTAAATATTTTAAATATTTTTAAATATTTTTGTCTCAGATGTCTTGTTAAATTAGATTAAATTTGTGTTTCTCACTGAAGAAAGTTGTTCGCTTCTGCATTTCTATTTAAAGAGCCTATGAATCCCTTATTTTCCAGGCAGTGGAGGTGATAGCCACGGATGTGTGGAGCCGAAGAGATTAGAAACAGAGGCTTCTGCAGGTCACCATCTCATTTCTCCCAACTGCTCCCCTCCACTTGACTTAAATTTTCCGTTGCCAGGAGAGAAGGGACCAGCGTGTCTTGTCAAGGTAACAAAAGTGGAGAGGTGATGAAGTTAGAGTGTGAGTACTGAGTCTTGCATTAGTTTATAGACACAGAAATTATCTTTCAAGTCCACAGTTTTGTTTCTACAGGTCACGACATTGTTTCTCTTAATTAGTACGTTGGTTCTCTTTACTACCCCTGTATGTGAGTTGCTGCACTCCTTCAACAGCATTTATTAGAGCTCACACGTTCTCACTAAAATGAACAAATCTGTTACGAGACGCCTAAGGGTGGAGCTGATCCTGATTCCTGGTGTTTTGCTTTTGGGATTTGTCCTCTTAAGGAAGAAAAGTTGTCATGGAACAAGCAAAACACTACATGTTTTTGTATTGTATTTGAAATAGTCTTTGATTCACAACTATGTTATATTGACACTGAAACTTCAGACACAACATTTCTACGCCGTTACTGTGTTGGATGCTCTCTTGTTCAGCAGATCTTGATAAATCGGATTAGAATACGGTTGTTCACTGTGCGTGTGTTTGAGCCTCCTGCGACTTTTCCTTTTGCCTGTGTTTGTGTGCAGTCCTGCACCTGGCCCATCTGCCTCTGTGTTTTATGGTTTTCTCTCTGTGGCAGGTCTATGAGAGCTGGGATAGCTTCAAAGTCAACGATGTTCTGGAGGTATATGGGATTTTGTCTGTGGATCCGGTGCTGAGCATAGTGAACAGTGAAGAGAGGTAAGGCTCCCCTGATCCTGAAATGAGGGATGTTTTTATTGCAATGAGCAAAATATTTTGGCTGTCCCCTTAATACAGAGAAATGTGTAAATTTATAACAGTTATGCTTAAAAGGTGAATTTTGCTGCTTAAAAAAGCTTGATGTGGAAAGTGTTAGATGCACCATCCTGCAAACCGAAGTCTATTGCACTCTGGCATGTCCTTACCCTTACACACGATGCATCTTTTTCTAGGTTGTTGAACAGTTTATAAAGCAAAAAGTGCTTCTGTAGCTAAATGTTTTGTGCTCTTTCATGCCTATTAAACCTTCAGTGAATGAGTGAATAGTGAACAAAGCTTTCAAATAAGCTTTAAAATTATAAAATGTCCTTTTGATGTATTTGTAAATCAGTGAAAGTTGTTACCATAAACACTTCTGTAGAATACATTAAGAAAAAACAATTGTGTGTCTGCATGGAGAGTGAAAGTCACCAAAATGAGTGCAAATTGGGTTGATTTTTTTTTTCGTTAATTAAGCAATATCACCTTACACTGCTGATAGAAACTTCCCATTTCACCTGCTCTTCTGCAGTTACTTGCTTGACAAAATACAAGCTAATCCAGGAGGGTGCAAGAAATCAATTTTTAAAATAAATCTGTTGAGCAATCTATTGTAACATATGTACTACTGAACCATTGTGCTTTAAATTACTGCTTTGGGTGATTTTGTTTATCTTTCTGCCAAGTACAATACAGAAAGCACAGCGTGAATCCTTTATGAAGTTACCTCAGGCTGGGCAGCTGCTTTTGGTTGTCATCTGTGTGACAGCTGATCCCAGCCCGACAGCTCAGTTGGTCTCTCACGGGTTGTTTTTTTCCTGCGTGTCATTCTATCACAAACAGGCAACACGGTGGCATTTAGCAACATTTTGAATGCAAACAAAGTAAGTTTCTTTTAATGGAAAGTGTTGATAGCTGTCAGACTGCTGAGAGGCCTTGAAGTTATCAAGCCTTTTGGCTTTTAAAACTGGTACAGGTTGATTGCATTTGTACGAAGCTTTACTATCATCTGATACAGTCACTTTAGGGATTTTAGTTTCCACATAACAAATGAAAAACCCCTGGAAATAATTTTGTGAGGCATCATCAGGGAGAGCAAAGCTTATGTACCCGAACTCTTAAATTAAGAGGCAATACCTTCAAGTTTGAGCTGAGGTACATTGGGATTTATTTACTCATTTTTTTTCACTCAGCCAGTGATATAGCTGTTATGTGACTCTAGAAGATGCTGTTGTCAGGCTCCAGAACCAGGTAGACTATAAAATTCCACATATGCATACACAGACAAATGTAATAAATCGTTATCTTATCTTAAAAGTTGCTGTGAAGACTTTTTTCAGAACAGTGTATAACATTTTAATTGAAGCTACATCTTATTAGATGATGTAGCAGATAATGAATGTGGTTTCGTTTGGGGCATTTGGTTTTGGGTTTTGTTTTTTGGGATGGGGTTTTGTTTTGTTTTGTTTTTTTCCTCAAAAAGGAAGATTTTATTACCTTGTGAAAATAATAGAATCAAATTTTATTTGGTCAAGCATGCTTTGGCATTTTTATATCATTATATAATTGTGATTTAGTATTTATGATGTTTATAACAATCACAAAAGAGGCGGTTTGAGTATGGCTGGAGTTAGAGGATGGGTTGGGATGTTGGTTGTTCCGATGTGCTCTGCTCCTGGCCTGGCTCCTGCTCCTCTTACTCAGATGCAGAGAAATTTGTGTGGAGTTTCTGAGTCCCGTTGTGCTGTGCCCTTTCCTAGGGACAGCTCAACCCTGGATCCTGTGGAGTGCATGGACACGGCAGAAGAACAGAGAGTGCACAGTCCTCCTGCCTCCTTAGTGCCCAGAATCCATGTGATTTTGGCCCAGAAATTACAGCACATTAACCCATTGCTGCCTGCATGCCTTAATGAAGAGGAGAGTAAAACCTGTGAGTAGCTGGACTTGATCTCCCTCTATGTACGTGTAAATGTGCCGTTTCCTAGTACATTCAAACAAATTTGTTTGCTCAGAGACAAATGTATCAATGGCAGGGTTTGAATTTAAATCTTGTTCAATGAAGAAACCATTCAACTCCACAGAACTGAACAAGATGCAAGCGTTTGTGGTTTTGGATGCTTATGTGTTTCCATTTCTGAAATAAATGTGATTTATATGAAACTTGGTTTTTCACTCTACACTCTCAGGGATTTTACCAAGTTGTTCAACCGTAAGATTTTATTTGCTCTCAAATGGAGTAGTGAATTGCTGGAAAATTAGATTTCCAATTTACTATAACGGAGAAAATAAGAAACATACTGACAACATAAAGAATCATAACACTGTGAAGAGCATAAGGCAATTCTCTTCTTAAGTAGCTGTGCTATTCCTCGTTGCCTATTTGCTGTTCTTTTTTTGTCATTGAATTATTGCATGCAAACCTCAAAAATTACGTTTATCACTTTCTTGCCCACCTGGTATTGGTTGCCCTGAGCTGTACTACAGGTGAGGAAGGGTGGGGTTTTCTGCCTTTAATATAGTATGGATAGGCTATTGATTTTGGAAATCTGGCACTGAACTGCCCTGCCTCCTGCAAATGCGTTACATGATACCTGCTGGAAAAAGAAGGCATTTCTAATGAAAAAAAGAAAACACTTCCAACGAAATGTTGAGTGACTCAGATTTATCCAAAGGCAGTGATTACTGTCTTGGAAAGCCAATGAGTGTATGTTTGTTTTTCCTAGACTCCTTTGGAGTCACCATTTTTCTTCATCAAACTCGAATGGAAAGTAAGGTTTATATGGAGGGAAGAGGGTGAAGAACACCACATTTTCTGACTTCTGTTGTCCTTTGCTCTTTTATCAGTTGTTTCGAATTTCATGTCTGAGCTGTCACCAGTGAGAGCAGAGCTGCTTGGGTTCCTCACCCACGCCCTCTTGGGAGACAGTTTGGCTGCCGAATACCTTATACTGCATCTCATCTCTACAGTGTAAGTATTTAGATGTTTGCTGAGAACTTATATATTCACCTTTAAAAATAAATCTACTATGGGTTTCTTCACCACTCTGCAAATAAATGACAGAAACAGCTTAAATAGTACTTGTTCCAGTAGTGCTTTGTCTAGCTAGAGCTTTCCTGGCATAATAGACACAATAAACAGTTTTAATTGTGTGAAATAACAGTAAGCTTTGTTAAAAGGCCAGTGTTGTGGCAGTATATCCTTTCAGCGCTCCTTTGAGAGTTGGACCAAATCTCCACAGTACACTTTTAAACAGAGGGATCAAAACATCTTTTTATCTCTGGCTTCTTTTATTGAATAGGACGTGCAATGGCTCCTCAAAGATGGCATTTTCTAACTGCAGTAATTGTTGTTTGGGTATTAAAAGATCCCGAAAGGTACATTCTGGGAATTTGTTTAATTAAATGTAGACATATTTTTAATGGTAATTTAAAGCGACCTGCATTTAGCATGGAATACAAATTTACCACCTGAGCTGATGCTGTAGCTGAATGTGCGTGCGTTGTGATCAAGGCTGACTAAAGTGGATTTGTTTAACGTTCTCTCATGTTGGTTTAAACTGTCACTGGATGAAGGAGCACTGTCCTTTGTCTCGTTAAAACTTCAGGTGTGCAACTTCAGACAGTATGCTTTGAATAGATTTTTAGGTGTAGTTGTCAGCCTCAATTAATTTTAAACTTTCTTCAAAATGAAAATGGATTGCAATTTCTTAAAAAACAGAAAGGAAGGAAGGAAGGAAAGAGTTGGGTTTTGGTAAATAAACCATGTCTTTTTATGGTTTTAAAATATCCATTCTGCTACAAAGTGAATAGTACAGCACATACTTAACAGAAGTGTTCACAGCGCTGTAACTGGGCTCAGCATCTTACCTTTCTCCTACCTGCAACTGATGTGTAAAAAGGCAGAAGACAGATGCCATGGCAGCATAATAATGAGCTGACAAGGTTTATGGTGGGTTTACATTTACAGTCGGCCCTGAACCCTTGTCCCCCTGTAAACAGAAGTACTTCAATATCCATATGCACTTTTTCTTATTCTGTGCACACTTTGTTCTCTCTAGTTGGACTGCAAATGTTCTAACGCTTAGACAAGAATGTGTTTTTGCTTAGCTGGTATCACCAAACACTGAAGTTTGTCAAGAATGGGGGAGAAGATAGACAGTGAGAAGAGGGAGAGGAAAGCTGAGGGCAGGTAAAGGAAATGAACAAGCGTGATAAGCAGGGAAATTGAGATTGGGCAATGAGAAAGGGAGAGGATGAAGTATTGTGTTTACTGAGTAACAACAGAGCTCAAGGAGAACAGAACATCTAGAAGGCACATGTGCAGGTTTTCAAGCACTATAAATGTCCTTGCAAAGCCTTCCACAGCAGCCTGCAGCCTAACTTAGCTCCTTGGACACTGGAGAAGGAAGAAAATGTGGCTGTTATTTATGTATCAGTATTGAAATCCTGCTGCCAGAAATACTGCACAGCATTCAAACTGACTGATACCTTTACTCGCCCTGTTCATCAGATGCTTGCCTAACTTGTGTTGGTTTTTTTTGCTTAGTTATGCGAGACGAGATGTGCTTCCTCTGGGAAAATTCACAGTCAACTTGAGCGGATGTCCAAGAGACAGCATCTTCACAGAGCACATATACCGCATCATCCAGCAGCTCGTTCCAGCAGTAAGAACAACGGCATTACGGTGCTCTGACATTTCAGATGGTAGATGTTGGACTAAGTGTCCCAACCAAAGAAACTACATTTTGGTTAAAAGCAGGCTTCTTAAAGGCTCCTGCTGCCCATGTAGAGGGCAGATAAAAATGGAGATACGGCTTGTCTGTCAGTTGGAAGTCTCTGCTGACCTATTCATCTAGGATGAATATGGAATAAAATCATATCCTGATAGATATTAAACTGACAGAGGCTGCATACTTTATTTTGTCTTTCTGGATTGATGTATTCAGACATTTAAGTCGTTTAATTATGTCATTACTGTTTATCCCCAAGTTTGTGGATACTGTGCTGCAGAAATTTCATAGTAATTTGATCTGGGGTCATAACTGTATTGCTGCAAGAAACCATTTGTTGTTTTGTTCATCCTGGATGTGCAATACAGGTGATGGGAGTTCTTACCAGTCTTGTTTTTGTTCGGGAAATTTAAGTATTTAGCATTTGGGTTCAAGTGTATTCTGTATTATGGTCACAAGTTTTGCTTTACTTACTATGGACATTCACAGTTACAACTCTTGCTAAAGGAAGCAGTACTTACCAGGGATGGAGCAGAGGGAACGTGCTGATGGGTTTCTTTTCTCGTTGCAGTCCTATCGCCTGCAGATGACCATTGAAAACATGAACCACTCACGATTTAACCCACGCAAAGACTACGCAGCGAATCGCTTGGTCAGTGGAGTATTGCAGCTGGCCAGCAACACTTCCCTTGTAGTGGATGAGACTCATCTGGAGCAGGGACAGCTTGACACAACAGGTAGGCAGGTTTTGTTGTTGTTTTTTTTAAAAAAAATCTCATCTGGAGGTTGAAAGTTGCTTTGTGTTAAGAAGATATGCTAATTGTGCCCTAGTGATAACTTTCTGTTACAAAACCGTTGGTGGTTTCCATATCCTATGTTGTTGCTTCCTCCTACTCGTCTGCAGCCTTCTCTGACAACTTAAGGCTTGATCTCTTGAGTGGTTTTTCTTCCCCTTATTTTGCTTTCTGGCAGTTTCTGATGTTTTGGTCAGAAGTGCCTGTGTTGAGTCAAAACCTCTACCCCAGTCTACGAACGACCGATAATGAAATGAGAGGGTTCCCTGTTCAGTATGGCTTTGTTTGCATTGTAGAGAACTCTGGACAGGGTCTTTGTCCTTTAGTGGTTTTCTAAAATGCTTGTCCTTAATGGCTAAAAAAACTTGACATTTAATGAAATGTAGTATTTTAAGTATTAGAAGTTGCAGATAAAAAAGCTTGTTCATTTCATTTCTGTATGTGTGATGTTGTTCTCTACTGAAATTAGAGTGGAAAAGTAAAAATTTTTAATTCTTGTAACAATGTTAGAAACAAAATTTAATCCTAGAGAAGAGTAAGATCTTCAGATCAAGTAGTTGGTTTGGAACTCTTGAACGTTACAGCTTGGAGATCTCAGATGTCCCAGAAGTAAACTGCCATATTAAATTTGCCTTTATTTACTAAATTTCTCTTTATTTACAGTATAGTACATTAATACAAATTCACCAAAGGCAAACACATAACAGTACGTGTGCCACGTGATGCAGTAACACTGCTGACGAGAAATGCAAGTTGTTGGGTACACGTTGGTGTTTCAGAGGAAGAGTTCACCACTTAATTCATCAATCTTAACTTTCTAGGTTTTAAATAACTTAGTTCCAGGTAAGGCAAGTGACTTCTGTAACTGTTTGGCAAAATGGTGAGTCTGTTTTCAGCTGTTCTGGTCCTGCCAGCCTATCTAATGTGCTCTTTATCCAGCAAGACTTTTTATTATTATTATTATTATTATTATTTTCCCCACCTTAAACTGTTAAATGACACTTTGTCAGATAACTGTTTTGTCCTTTTTTTGAGGAGAGATTTTTTGTTTTAATCTGTAAATATTTATCTGGCTTTGTAGGAGTGATGAAAACATCAGCTATTAACACATATACTAGGCCAGATAAAATTTGGGCTTGAAATCCTTCAAGAATTCTTAATTTTGGTCTTAAGAAATGGTTGTTTCTATATGGAAGGCACCACAGACACAAGAAAAAGGATGCTTGCAAGAATCTTTCTACCAGTTGCTCATTAGAAACAGATTGGGGAAAAAAAAAATCAGGTCTGGCATTTGTTTAGGTCTGGTTGTGAGAGAATTTGTTGTTGCTTTTCTAGGTGTGCATAATGTGACTGCGCTGGGTAATCTGATCACTTGGCAGAAGGTGGATTATGACTTCAATTACCACCAGATGGAATTCCCATGCAACATTAATGTTCTTATCACTTCAGAGGGCCGATCGCTCCTACCGGTATGGCAAGGTCTTCCTGAATCTGGGGAATTATGGCAGCGGGTAGCTACTTACTTAGAGCATCCATTCCAGAGGCAAGTGAAGACAGGAAAACTGTCTTGTGGCCAGGGGTGGGTATGGTATTGGATTCAGTTCTCGCTCGTGGCTGCAGCCAGGCCAAGAACCCGTCCAGAGGAACACCAGGAGCTTGACCTTCCCTCCCTGGCTGAACAGCGTAGCGATGGCACGGCAGTGACTGGGGTCATCAACGGAGAGCTCAGTAATGGGTAAAGCTGCAGACACACGGCTGCTCTCAATGTCTCATTCTGGTACAGTGGTTTCTGAGTTGATGGGCACGTGAACAAAGAGCAACAGATCTGGCATTGACCCCCAAAAACCAGAGTACCCTCAGCTTACAAATTTGATCTTTTGCATTCCAGCTTCATGGGCTGAGTGTTTGCTTTCTTGTCTCTAAGCTAAACTGGCTCCTGCTTGAATGAGGACTTCACGCTGGTTTTTAAAAAGGAAACTGTTAAATATTTAAAGAATTAATTGTCTTGCTTAAATGCTGGGAAGTAGTGACTTCTGTTGCTTTAGACATTAAACCAGTCTTGGAACAGAAAAAAATAGGATGTGGAAAAAGATGATATGTAATTGTGTTTTTCAGTCAGATTGCCAAGTCCACTTGCAACCACAGATAATTCCACCAAACATGGAAGAGTACATGAGCAGCCTCCTAACAGCAGTGCTGCCTTCTGTGCTGAACAAATTCCGGATTTATCTAAGTCTGCTGAGGCTGCTGGACTACAGTATATCTGATGAAGTGACCAAGGTATGGAAGACTTCACTAATGTTTTCAACTCTGTGTCCAGATAGAACTGGCATCTTAATAGGAAGTTACTGCACTTTGCCATTGCTCTCCCTGACAGGGATTCTCCTGGAAGTTTCCTAAAAACCTAACAAGCACTTTTCTTGTCCTGAACGTGCCTTCACGGGTTTGTACTCTTGAGTATTTCAGCATATACTTTACATGTACTGTGCTTTCTAAAACTCATCTTGAAAACTAACTCTTCTCTAAGGTGAGGAGTAGCCTATTTTTTACTCAGGCTCGAGTAATGAGTTGAAATGCTTCTCCTGTAGTCTAAGGGTAGCATTTAGCTCCTTAAAAGCTTGTCTTGTAGTGAAGATGCTTTTTTTGCCACTTGAAGTGCATGCTGTGTTGTTTACAGGCGGTAGAAGAGGACTTCGTAGAAATGCGCAAGAATGACCCTGAGAGCATAACGGCCGATGATCTGCACCGAACTCTGCTCGTAGCGAGGTGGGTAGCGCTGGCTGTCCTAAACGATGGCTTTTTCTCAAGCTGCTGACAAATGCAGTTGATGCTCACAGCCTGCGGTTTGTGGGCAGATTCCTTTATTCCTCCTAGCACAGATCCTTAGTTAGGCAAAGCATTCCCTCCCCGTGCTTCCCAGTTCACAGGGTACTGAAAGAAACCTGGTTTTGTACTGAACTTGCTTATTAAACCTGACACATGAACAAGCTCTTATTTAATCGCTGTTCCTGCTCCTGTAGGTTCCTGTCCCTCAGCGCGGGGCAGACAACGCTGTCGAGAGAGAGGTGGCTGAGAGCAAAGCAACTGGAGACGTTACGTAAAGCCAGACTTCAGCAGCAAAAATGTGTTAACGGGAACGAACTTTAATATTCGGTGGATGTTGCTATGAAAACTTGTCTAATCCTAGATGGAACCATGCTAAGATTGGAATATTGTTTATACCAGTTTTTGTAGATAATTTATACCAAGACATTGTGGATATTTACCCTTGCAGTCTGAACGCGCTTAACTCTGTTCAGCAAGTTAAACGTATTTTATGGAATTTTTTTGGAGCCTGTTTTGTAATCAAAAATTGGTAACAATGAGCAAATTGTTTGATATTAAACTTTAATACTGAAGTTGTATGGACTTCTTTCCTTTAATAACAAGAAAACCTAAGCCTGAGCCCTTCATACCCAGCAGTGGTAGGCTCTGTTCTGGAATAAGTTTGTGATACAATTTTTGAATGTCTTGAATTTTGAGGATTAGAGGTTTCAGCTCAGCTGCAGCTGACAGAAATATTGACTTCAGGATCAGGAACTGTGAGTGTTGTTCCCATGAGCTGAGGCACAGTGTGCTCACAGCAGCAGTGTAACAGTGGTATAAATATAAACACTGTGGTATAAAGAAGTGATGTGATCTTACCCATAAGAAGGTTCTAGTATGAAGTCCATCTCTATTGTACTCAGAGAAGACCATGGCTGACTTCTCAGATCTCCATAATGAGCTTTATTCTGGCATGATTTCTTAAAAAAAAAAAAAAGAGCTGGAGAATGGGTGAGAGTCATGTACTCATCCACAACAAACCTCACTTCCTATATTACCAGTAATGCAGTGTGTTTTAATTGCTTGAATATCAATTAAGCATTAAGAATGGTCTCTACCTGCCTTATTCATGCTGTGCAGTTTGTGCTGGTTTTTAGAGGATGTACTGTCCCTGCTAAGACTTGCAGAACTCATTTAAACCACACTTGTTAAGTAGTGAAACATTAAACCAGTCTGGAGTCAAAGTAATGCAGAAAGACTCCAGAGCAGCGAGTAGGGCTGTGCTCGTGACTCAGCCTGCAAGAGTCGGGGATGGAGCTGATACTAATGCAATTAATCCTTCCCTGAACAAGAAAAAAGGCTCCTGCCAAATTTAAATGAAGCCAGTGCCACCTTTACTTGAGATTGTGTGAACTGGAACCCACTTTTTCACTGCATTTTTCCTGTTCTAAAGTGGCTGTGCAGTGGAAAACAGTCACATCTCAAACTGTCCTTTTCATCTCTGCACACTAGTCACAAGTATTTATCAAGATAAACTGTTTTCGTGTATCTTAAACTTAAGCCAAGTTTGATGCCCTTTCAAATCACGGTTTTTCTTTTTTTGAGCACTAAAATGAATATTCATGGTTTCATCTGCCTTGTGCTACATTAATATGACGTTAGAAACTGAACAAACATAGGAAGATGAAGTCTCTCTTCAGAAGGCAGCCTGGCTGGACAGCGCAGTTGGTTGGTAAGATGTCTTTGAGGGTGGCTTTATGCATGTGGCCATGGATTATTTGCTACTATCTCCCACTGTTTCATAAGCATTGGACAAATCACAAGCTGGCTTTCACATGATACTTTTAGATGAAGCAATGAACCAATACAGCAGATCAGGAGTTACTTACCAGGAAGATGTGCCCCAGGTTGTTGACTGAGCCACAAGTTTTTCTTAAATATAGAAGTGACTTTATAGTTATGAGTACACTTACCCTACAGGACTCTTTGGAAGTCACTATGGAAGTATTTGTACAGCTCTGTTCCTCTTTCTCCTACCAAAATAATAGCTAAGTATTTGGAATTTCCTCTCCCTCCTCCAGAACATTTGCAAGTACCAAGATTTGGGCAGTTTTTAAGGATCATCCTCATAAATGTGTCAGACTTTTCCTCTCTCTTCCACAAGGCCAGGGTTGTAGCAGTGCACCACCAGAAGAAAGGATAAAGGACTGAAGTCATGTATGTGTCCCCTGACAGAGGATCTGATCAGTGTCTGTAACTGCACAGAGGACAGAGCCAGGCTCTCTCCAGTGGTGCCCAGCGATGGGAGAAGTGGCCACAGGCACAGACTGAAACAGGAGGTTCCCTCTGAACAGCAGAAAACACTTTTGCACTGTGACTCCACCTGAGCACTGGAAGACATTGCCCAGAGGAGTGATGGAGTCTCCATCCTTGGAGATACCCAGAAGCCATCTGGACATGGCCCAGGGCAGCCAGCTCCAGGTGGCCCTGCTTGAGGAGCAGGGGTTGGACCAGCTGACCCCCAGCAGCCCCTTCCCACCTCCACCATTCTGTGTCTCTGTGACTCTTGAGCCTTAAAACCCCAGAGCCCTGCAGTACTGCGTTCCTTAACATCACATGCCAAAAACCATCATTTGATACCACTTTTTTTATTAAAATATCTCATGTATATTGCTCACATTAAAATACAGCAGTAGTTTAATTTTAAATATAGCCACGAGTATAGACACTCAAAAAACCCAAACCCACATCACTTTAATAAAACAAATAAATAAATCCAATTTGTTTATCAAAGTTTCAGACCATGGGGGTTAGATGATAATCATTTAGGACACACTACAAGTCCTCAGACACTGCACTACCCTACCCCTACGACACCACGGTCCGGGAACACCACGTGCAGCCTATCTACAGTACATGGGGACAGGCACAGGGGCTGTCAGGGTGGTCAGAGTTACAAACCACAGCATAGTAAGGTCCTGCTTCACAGCAGCTGTTGAATAATGTCCTATACTAGAATGGCATGGCAAGGCATTTCTGGGAAAGACTCATTTAGATGGATTTAATATTTTGACACACATAGATAAGGGGGTTTTTATCCAATTCCCAGCATGAATGGATGCTTAGCCTTATCCTGCAAGTGTGCAAAGCTTGAGCTGGTCATGAATTTGGTTTTGATTAGATGCTGACAACTATGCTCTAATACAACACTGATTGTATGACATGGTACACTTGCCTTCTGGCTTCAAAGTTACTTGGACTTTTGCATCTACTGGACAGTTAGAATATAGTTTTTATAAAGTCATAGCACAGAGGGACACAATGCCTGAAGGTCAAGTATCTGCTTTGTCTTGCTTTACACAGAGACAACAAAATCAGAGCAAACTGCCAGTGTTTGGAAATTGGAAAAAAGGAAATGGGAGTAGCTTTAACATGGGCAAGAGAATTAGAGGGCACTTGTTCCATTTCCCTTCACCTCAAAACAAGTGGAAAAAAAAAAATCTACAAACTAAATTTGCACTGCAGGATCGTGGATATTTCAGATTGGATCTATGTGCTGCTTTATCTTTACTGGAAGTGTCCCAGGATGCATAGAAAGAAAAGGACAGAAAAAAAAGAAAAGAAGTCTTAATTTCTGGTTAACAAAATTCAACAAAAATGCATCAATTCCCATTGTAGAGGCACAATTCATAGAAAGCTGCATCTAAAACTTCAATGGAAACAAGTAAAAATACTAGTCCAAAAATAAATAAAATGTAATTTACCGGTAAGTTATTTTGCTGGTGCAGTGCAAGTTAAGTAAGGTCACAGAAGTGCAGTATCACCTTTTGAGTATAAATACTTTCTACATAAGTCAGAAGAGCTACAAAATTAGTCTCCAAAAATAACTGTGCAACACATTGAAGACAGACAGCATGCTCATTAACTCCCAGTGTCTAAGCTACCTGTTTAAATATGGGTTTACCGTTCTTTTGTCTCAGCTGCCCGAGGGAATTCTGAAGCTTGGTCAGAACCAAATTCATTTGCCTCTCTCACTTCCTGTAAACAAGTTATCTGTATTATTGATCCCAGTATTCAGTAGCAGTTCCTGCCACAGTGAGTCCTGATGTAATTTTTCTAGTATTGTATTAAAAGCCACAACTCAAAGAACACTCCCTAAATTAGCACTAGATTTGAATTATTCTTGTCTGGCATTGCGTAAACATTTCCTTCAGTTCTTTTTGTTTGATTTCATTTATAGCTTCTGGTTCTGCAGGGCTCTTCTGCACCTTTGCCACGGCAAAATTAATCCCTTGAGTCAATCCTGCTTGTGTGATGTTCGCGACCTGGACCATGGAGCTGCGAATTTTAGCAAAAGGAGACACAGCTCTGCTGCTGCTGCTGTCAGCAGGAGAAGGAGTCGTGTGCAGTCCCATCTCAAGGTTACCTGATACAGATCCTGGGCTTTTGTGAGATTTAGTGAAGTCAGTCCCGCCAACAGCCAAGAGCTGAGGATTTGTCTCAGAAGACTGCACGTCCAGCTTAGATGGCCTGGAAGGAACGTCTCTGCTGGCTTCAGCCTTGGTTTCTGCCTTCTTAGATATATTATTGCTGGGTTGATTTATTACGTGGTGGGGCTCTTGAGGACCAGCCTCAGCCTCCAAAACATCCGACGTCTTATTTTGAGCATCATGCACAAACCTCTGGCAGTACACGTCGATAGGTTTAGCAAACTCCATCTCCGTGCTGTCAGCAGAGGGCATGGGCACGTCCTCACAGTCAGAGCGGGCAGCCTGAGAGCCCTGGATCTCAGAGGGAACGGGAATGCTGATGCTCATGTCAGTGCTGCTGACAGACTGGGACCGACTGCTCAGCCGCGGGGCAGAGGCGATGATCCCACAGCTGGGCAGCACGTAGTCCACCTGCCCTATGTTCTCCAGGGAGTCCGTGAGCTGGTTGTCCTCGTCCGATTTGGAGTTGGTCAGGAAGTCATCAGAGTGGAATGAATCATTATCCGAAACCTCTGTATCGGATTCAGTATGGACTTTAGGATCTACCGCGGGATTCTCCAGAGTTTCAAGGCTGCTATCTGATTTCCAAAGATTCACTTTCAAATTTGGTTTTAAAAAATTGACTTTCACTTCAGGTCTGGTAAAGCTGCCCAACTTCCGAAGGTTGCTGATGTTCACATTGGATTTGGTTTGTTTCACTTTTTGATTGAGGGATGAGAACTTGCTCAGTAAGTAATTCTTGCCTTGAGCCAGGGACCCTCTGTTCTGAGACCGAATGCCAATGATGTCCTCATGAGGTTTACTGCTCTTCCTGGAAGAAAAAAAATAATCTCTAATGTACAATCAAGGCAGTCTCATTTATAAACACCAAGTATTTACTGTCTTCCAGTCTATTTCCATAATAGCAATGAACATTTTACTTACTCAGTTATCCTTTCTTTCTGTAATTATACCCATACAGTGAATCAAATTCAAAACAACAAAGGAGAGTTGATACAGAATGGTAGCCACACAAGGGGAAAAAGCAAGCTTCTGCATGCATTTCTAATTTTAGACTAAAATTGATTGAATTCCCTATATTTATAACCTTGACTTTGTATATGCTAACAAACATTGAGTCTTCAGTACCTGCAATGAAAGACAAAGCCTTTCTTGCTATACTTTCTACTCAGCTGGGGAAAGCAGTTGAAATAGTAGCCCAATAATCAAATGCAGAAGAAAGTTATTGAAATATGTGCCTTAATAGTTTTTTTCTTGACAATTTACAATTGTACATCACATTTTCTAGTAGCTCATATAGTCTGAATTGGAAGGGTCTAAATATAATGCAACAGATCACACTCGAACTGGCAGAACATGCTGAACAACTTCAGCTGGCCATCCTCTAATTTCTACTCCATTGTCCTTTGTAAACTATTTCCTCACTGTGAAAACCTCACCAGTATTTGTAGATAAAGGTTACTTCTGTTTAATTATAGACAACTGACTTATTAGAGAAAACTACCTAAGAAATGCTAGTAAGTACCTTTAATTATCAACTATGCTTTCATGTACCCTTTTCTCTTAACAGTCTTGCAAAATTAAAACTGTGCCATTCTGACTAATACGTCGGAGTTTAGAAGTTTAACTTCAGCCATTTCTTCACACAAGAGCTGTAACATTACCTGGGTTTGTTAAACACTTAACTGCAGTGGAGTCCAAACCAGATTTACACTTCACAGGTTATCTCACTACAGAAGCAGGCATAAAGTTCAGATAGGAAAAATGAAATGTGACAGATTAATCCTGAACCATCTGATTTGCAGTAAGGTATTTCCTTGTGGTAACATGTATTGTCTATAAGCACACATGTATAATACAGTATTCTTGCTTATTCTTTCAGATAAGTGCCTGCAGACAGTTATTCTAGGAAGCAGCATATGGCCAAATTAACTCCTAGCACGGTAGCTAGATCCAGACGTTTCTTTCAGGCATCACATGTGACTGTTACCATGTACCGACAGCCACTGAGAAGGGAGCAAAAGTGGGACACAGAAGGTTCATATCATTTAAGTACTCACCTCTCCAGCTTCTTCTCAATAATGGGTACATCTAATCCCATTGCTTGCTTTGTGATTCTCAGCATTTCTGCAATGCACTGAAGAGTGTCTGAAAGCCCAGTAACAGCATGTCAGACCCTTAAAAAGCCCCCCATATTCCAAGATCTGCAAAGCAATGTCTAATTTTAACATAATTAAGTTTATTTGGTTGTGTTGGTTGTTTTTATCTGTCACCCTACAGAACAGTTGCACTCCACAAGTTGCAATTCTGATTTAAAGCTTACAAAATGAGCTTAAAGAACAGACTTTCCTTAAGCCCGAAACACTGAGTGTAAGTGAATCACTGCTACGATTCATCATTTGTGGAAGGAAGAGAAGCAATTATATTCTTTCTAATCCTTGTGGACAAAACTCAGTGTTCCAGGGTAAAAAGTGATACTTTTCCCGTATTAGTGTTCATTTAATTTGAACGAGCACCAAGAACACTTCTAGACATTGATTTCACTAAAAAAATGAATTTCTTCCACTCTTCAGGAGCTAATTTTAAGTTCATTTTATCAAGTTTTGGCGCAGTAAAGATCTAGACATGGAAGTGTCTGAATTCTAAACAGCCATGTTGCTTTAAAGGTGTATCTGAAATTTATTTTACTTTATTTTCTAGTGTTCATACAGGAAAGCAACATACAGGGCTTTTTTTGTTGGTTCTCCCACACACAACTGGATTATATTAAAATTTATCTGTTTTCAGAATTTATTCTAAGAGCAATGGAAAAAATGTTTCCTAGAGAAACGCTGGTTACTGAATACACTTTTACACATAAAACTTCTACACGCAAAACCAACCTTTTCCATCTTCTTCTGGGTTGCGTACCACAGCTCTCAGAGTGTGGAAATACCCACTTGCTTCTTTGTATTTGTAGTGCAGCCTCATGCAAGAGAACTTGGGTTTGCCGAAGAGAGTAGGCTCAGGCCCTGAGGGATAAACCAGCAGATCAGAAACCTTCAACCAAACACTGAAAGAGACATTGCAAAGACTGTACCTAAACATACGTAAGTCTTTTTCAGCATAAAAAGCTTCATGTTATATTTAGAGTAGGATGGACTTTTGCATGAGATATTTTCACAATAACTAAACAATCAATTACTTTTTAAAAAGCAAAAAGACTGTGTATATCTATTATAATCCAGCCTGAGTGATTATTACAGATCACCCTTTCAAATATTAGGAAAAAATTCTACACCTGTTAGACCCTGTGGTTTAGTGTATGCTCCTGCAAGGATTAACAAATATATATTTACCCAGTGGAAGCAATGTAAGTTTCAAGATTTAGACCTAGTACTTCAACTCAACAATGCACTACATCAGAGCTCTATCATTAAACATTTTGTTTTTATACGGTGTTTGGCCCAGATGTTTCAGCTGTATTCTGTATGTCAGGATGTATTACAGATCTCCACAAGTGAGAGACCTTTCCGCTGAACTCAGAAATTGCACACAGACACTGTAACTTTCACTACGGAGATGATGAAATCCCTATGCATTGTGTACTGGAGGACTGAACCTTACGGGGGGGCAGGCAGCAGCATACACTGAGGCCCACAAAAATTTCCCTCCCTTCTCTCCAACTGGAAGACTTTTTAATCTGTAAAATCAAAGATAACACATCTTTAATACTTTCAGCTGAACGTGCTGGGTTTAGCCTGCAGATGTTACACTCTTTAGTCAAGGTTAAACAGCATACCAGGGCAATTTCATAACAGCATGTTTCTTATCAGATCTGGAGAAAGAAGAGCTTAAAAACAAGATCTGAAACAGATCTAAAGTACAATTCAGAACTGGCTGCTGTATTTGGATCAAAGAAAGAACACACTGAATGCACAACCCTGTGACTCATTATAGAAACTGATCAAATTGTTCTTGCCATCTGATAAGTAATTAAATCAGTTTTGATTAATCCATAGGTTTTTTAAGAGTTTGAAAGCAGGAAAATTTGAGAACTATACCAGTGATCAAAGTTTCCACTTCAAGCAGAAACAAAATACAGGACTGTGAGAGAACACAGACAACTTTGGCATCTTATCAGCAAGGAAGCACATTTCTATCTATGGTGGACTACACAGGATATATGTAATATATCAAGGCTTGCTGCTTCAATATATGTGTAGGATGCTTTGGTAAGTGCTCCAGCTATTGCCAAGAGCACTCAAGACAGATATATGGTGACTACATTCTTACCGATTTCTATTTTTTCCAGAGCTTCAAGACTTAACCTTTGGTACTGATTCACCTTGTCGATTTCATCATCATAACTAGGAAAAAAGAACCAGAATTTAATGCTTCCTACTAATCTGAAACAAAGCTACTAGAAATAAACTACATGTAGTAGGAGAAAGTGGTAACTTACTAGGCCACGTAGTAGGCAGAATTAGAAAGTAACAGCAGAACGTCCACGTCCCTGTGAGTGGCATCAATGAGACTAAGGAGAGGGAAGAAGAAGAATGAATAAAGGTGAGGAGGTTTTATTTGCACAGCTGTAGCCATTCCCAGTGTATTTTTAGGGAGACTCTTTTACAACTGAAGGCACATTACAAAGAGGCTTCAGTTCTGCAGGTTCTTTTGTGTGATGCTGCTACCTCTCCACAGTCACAGAAATAAAAACAAGTCCGGTGAGACACTTCACAAGCCAGAATGCGATCTCAGTATAATGTGTCATTAGGTTAGATAAGTGGATCCATATAGGCAACACGCTCTCTCTCAAATCTAGAGTTAGCTAATAGCTCAAATAGGTCAGAAGCAGGTCCAAAAATAAATAGAAAACTTGCAAGCTATTAAAAATGCTACCAGAGAAATGGAAAAGTCTCAGACTCAGATAAGGTGATGAATCTGCTTTGAATACCTCTCATAATATCCTGCTTTGCTATTTTTAGATGTTGAAGTTTAACCTACAAGACCACCTCATCGCTATTTTTCTTTTACAAGTTGGTGAACTCTGACCTTGATAAGAAGACTTACCAGTTAAGAGAGTTTATGCTCACTATTTTTCATGAAAAGAGATCTAGGCTTTCCTACTACTGTTAGATGTTTAAGTTTAACCTACAAGACCACCTCATTGCTATTTTTCTTTTAAAGTTGGTGAACTCTGAACTTGATAAGGAGACTTACCAGTTAAGAGAGTTTATGCTCACTATTTTTCATGAAAAGAGATCTAGGCTTTCCTACTACTGACTCATTACATAAGAATTTAATCTGATCAGATAGGGCTTTGAAGTCAAGTTACATTTTCCCTA